GGTGCTTCCTGGTTACAATGCGGTTATCTAGAGCAGATAGAACATGCATTAGCATTTTTCCAGTTTTTTTTTGTTAAAACAGAAAATTCAAACATTTTTTCATATAGAGGACTTGCAGATTCCAAGGAACATGCGTGATGGGGTGCCTGGGTGGCTCAGTCGGTTGTGTCCAACTCTTGGTTTTGGCTCAGGTCTTGATCTCACAGTTTGTGGTTTCAAGCCCCGCATGGGGCTCTGTGCTGACAGCTCAGAGCCTGGAGTCTGCTTCAGATTCTGTGTCTCCTTCTCTCTCTGCCCCTCCCCTGCTCTCTCTCTCTCTCTCTCTCTCGAAAATAAATCTTGAAAACAAAACAAAAAAAAAAGACCATGGATGAGACTAATTTTAAGGCACAATGGCTTCAGAGCAGCATGGGAAAGAGGGCAGGAGTATAGCCACCTTTAAACCACTACCCTGGCCTGCCCTGCGTGCTACACCCCACCCCACAGCTGTCACCACCAAGCCCAAGAGGACGAGTGAAGAAACTAAAGAAGAAAAAGCCCGGGGCGCCTGGGTGGCTCAGTCAGTTAAGCATCCAACTTCAGGTCAGGTCATGATCTCACGGTTTGTGGGGTTGAGCCCTGCGTTGGGCTCTCTGCTGTCAGCACAGAGCGTGTTTTGGATCCTCTGTCCTCCCCTCCGTCTGCCCCTCCCCTGCTCACTCACTCCCTCTCAAAAATAAATAAACATTAAAAAAAAAAAAAAAGATGAAAAAGCCCAGGGGAAGGATAAGCCACAGAGCAGATGGGTATTCTTTCCTGCTTAATTTGCTCTTCCATAAAAAGGCACCTTGCAGAAAAGGGAGCAAATAACCAAATATACAAAAAATGGAGGTGCCAAATGAAGCTTGTGCATTCTTTATAACGATGTTCTTGTGTTCTGTACCATCTGAATGACTTTTATCAAGTTTTATACAGATGCAGAATTCTTTTTTTGTACGGTATGTTGGCACAGAGAACGCCTCATTGTTTTAGGGAAGGGCAAATGTCACACTAACAGAGTTATCTCAGGAACCAAGTGAAATAGCCACAGGGCTGAAAACAAGAGTTTGTGTCCTTGGTTTTGGGAGTATTCTTCTCAGTTGCCAAGAGAAGGGATTCACTGACATTCACAGCCACTGTGGCATTTGCCTGTGGTGTGAGGAAACAAAAATTCATTTTTTAGGTCCTCTTCTCCATTCCTTTGTGCCCTTAGAATGAACTTTATGTCCTTAAACTCAGACGTGTTGGTACCTAGCACTCCTTTCCTTGGGGGCTCCAGGTCTGGTCTTTTCAGGGATGACATGGGCACTGAGTTCCCTAAAAAAGCCAGGAAGCAATGTTTTTTTTTTATTGTGGACCTTAAATTCTGCAGTTTTCATGACATTTCCTCAAAATCAAGGTCTGCTTGTGAAAGGAGTTAACATGTTAATTGTTCCTCATTTACCTAAACTTCTCCCATTTAAATAATCAAGTAAAAATTTCCTTGGGTTTTAGGGTGCCTTGGTGGCTCAGTTGGTTGAACATCTGACTCTTGATTTTGGCTCAGGTCATGATCTCATGGTTCCTGAGATGAACCTCTGAGCTGGGCTATGCGCTGACAGCATGGAGCCTACCTAGATTCTCTCTCCCTCTCTCTCTGCCCCTCCCCCTCCTCTCTCTGCCCTTCCCCTGTGCACGCATGTGGGCACACTCTCAAAATAAACACTAAAAACAATAATAAAAATAAAAGGTATCATGGGGCGCCTGGGTGACTCAGTCAGTTAAGCGGCCCACTTTGGCTCAGGTCATGATCTCATGGCCCGTGGTTTTGAGCCCTGCGTCGGGCTCTGTGCTGACAGCTGGGAGCCTGTAGCCTGCTTCAGATTCTGTGTCTCCCTCTCTCTCTGCTCCTCCCCTACTCATGCTCTGTCTCTCTCTCTGAAAAATGAATAAATGTTAAAAAAAAAAAAAGTATTAAAGCCCATTTGTTTTAGGAAAAACATTACTTAAACCTTTTCAACTTTCAGAAAAATCTACATGTTTCTGAATATGGGCTCAATTTTAAGTTCTACCTTAGTGTAATATTTGTTTCAGAAGTGAGACAATGAATATGTTATTGAGCCACAGGGGGAAAAAACCTCCTGATCTTAATGTGTATCAACAGCCATCAAACACATTCATATTCGGGGCCCCTGGGTGACTCAGTTGGTTAAGCATCAGACTCTTGAACTGTGAGATCAAGCCCTGAGTCGAGGTCTGAGATAACAGTCTGATAGGGATTCTTAGGATCCTCTCTGGGGATTCTCTCTCCCTCTCTCTCTGCCTCTCCCCTGCTGTCTATCAGTCTCTCTCTCAAAATAAATAAATAAACTTAAAGAGAAGACTTCCTTGGGTTTTATAGCTTTCCCCTTTTTGCAAGGAAATAAGGGAAATTGAAAGTTTCTGTATACCATGGCCACCCATGACCTGCATGAAATGCTGAGATTGTTAATGAAAATTAGCCTTAATAATATCGATACAATTTGGAGAGATACAGAGAGAATGAATCACTGGCTTGATTAAAATATTCCTGGGCTCTGATTCCATGTCCATCAGACAACCTTCTGAGGGCTGATTTGAGCTCTCAAGTGTCCTCGTGATAGGAAGAGAGAGCTTTGAACAGTGAGCATGAGGGTTTATTTGTGGAAACTGACATTCTAATTCTAAAATTAGGATGGAAATTCAATTATATAGAATTCCAAAGGACCTGGAAAACCAAAGCGATCTTTAAAGAACATTGTTGGAAGATATGTACTACCAGATATGAAGACTTACAATAATTAAGCTATAATAATTAAGAAAATATGGTATTGGTACAAGAATAAAGATCAATGGAAGAGAACAGAGAGCCCAGAAACAGACATTTGGACATAGTCACATGATGAACAAGAGATGGGACTGCAACTAGGGAGGAAAGACTAGTCTTTCTATCATTGGTGCTAGGTCAAATTGACATCTATATGGAAAAAAAATCAATTCTCACCTCACACTGTACACAAAAATTAACTCAAAATGTAGCACAGACCTAAATGTAAAGCCAAAACCACAAAACCTCCAGAAGAAAACAGAGGAGAAAATCTTAGTGACCTTAGGTTTGGCAAAGAATTCTTTTTTTTTTTTTTTTTTTTTTTGGCAAAGAATTCTTAAATAGGACACAAAAAGAATGAAACAAGAGAAGAAACTTGATAAGCTGGACTTTATAAAATTAAAAACTTTTACTTTGAGGGGCGCCTAGGTGGCTTAGTCCGTTAAGCGTCCGACTTCAGCTCAGGTCATGATCTCATGGTTTGTAAGTTCAAGCCCCATGTTGGGTTCTGTGCTGACAGCTCAGAGCCTGGAGCCTGCTTCAGATTCTGTCTCCCTCTCTCTCTGTGCCTCCCCCATTGCTTGTGCTCTGTCTCTCTCTCTTTCAAAAATAAACATTAAAAAATTTAAAATAAGGGGAGCCTGGGTGGCTCAGTCGGTTGAGCATCCGACTTCGGCTCAGGTCATGATCTCACGGTTCGTGGGTTCGAGCCCCGCATCTGTGCTGATGTTCAGAGCCTGGAGCCTGTTTCTGATTCTGTCTCCCTCTCTCTCTGCCCCTCCCCTGTTCATGCTGTCTTTGTCTCGAGAATAAACATTAAAAAAAATTTTTTTTAATTAAAAATAAATAAATGTCATTTATTGTCAATTATACCTTAATAAAACTGTTCAAGAAGAAACTTTCCCAGGAGGTGACACTACCTGCTTGCTCTCCTCCAGGATGTGAGTTTCTCTGGAGCTGGGTCCAACTCCCTGGAGGGCCATGCAGGAGGCCGAATTAATGGGGAGGCCTGTGGAAGAGGCCCTTGAGGTCAGGAACGCCAAGCTAGGTGATGGCAGTCAACTTGGGTGTGCTTGGCAGGTAATACCTTCCATTTTCCCAACACATGGTGCTTGTCCTTCAAACAGGCCCAGCTCATCCCTGCCTCCAGCCCCCAATCTTCATGTAGCTGAGATGTCCTCATCATTTAGGTCTTAGCATGGATGTCAAGTACCTTTACTGAACACCATGTCCTCAGGTCATTTTCTGTATTTCTCTATTTTCTTTTCCTTTTTTTTTCCCCATTGTATGCACCACAATTAAATTCTTTCTTTCTTTCTTTCTTTCTTTCTTTCTTTCTTTCTTTCTGGGGGGAGCACAGTAGGGGAGGGGCAGAGAGAGGGGGACAGAGGATCCGAAGTGGGCTCTGCACTGACAGGCTGACAGCAGTAAGCCTGAAGTGGGGCTCGAACTCACAAACTGTGAGCTCATGACCTGAGCTGAAGTCAGACACTTAACCGACTGAACTACCCAGGTGCCTCTCACAATCAAATTCATTTAGTTATTAAAAAAAAAATTTTTTTTAATGTTCATTTATTTCTGAGACAGAGAGAGACAGAGCATGAGTAGCGGAGGGGCAGAGAGAGGGGAGACACAGAATCTGAAGTAGGCTCCAGGCTCTGAGCTGTCAGCACAGAGCCCAACGCGGGGCTTGAACTCACAATGAGATCATGACCTGAGCCGAAGTCGGACACTCAACCGACTGAGCCACCCAGGCACCCCTCATTTAGTTATTTTTTTTAACATTTAAGTTATCTCTACCCTCAACATGGGGCTCAAACTCATGAGCCCAAGACCAAGAGTTGCATGCTCTATCAGCTGAGCCAACCAGGCGCCTCTCTTTTCATTTTTACTATTTATCCTCTTCGTCTCTCCTCTATGCTGCTGGGGCCCCAAAGATCCCTTTTACTGGTGATGCACCCACCTCATACATGCGTTAAGTGCTGGCTGACAACTCACAGCTGCCCTGGCCAATACATCATGGGAAATGAAGGGTAGGAGAGAAGGGAGAGGGCGTTAAAAACTTGCTTTCTTGTGGTAAGGAGGCCTAACTGTGCAATTTATGCAGTTACCTATGGGATGGGGCTGAAACTAGTTTCCAACTGAGGCCACTCTCCTGCTTACTTTAGTTTGTTGCCCCGCCCTGCCCTGTTTCCCCCATCTCTTCTCCTGGAAGCACTTCCCCAATAAATCACTAAGCAAGAATTCTCATCTCAGTCTCTGCTTCCGGGAACCTGACCCATGACACCCAGACACTAGAAACTATCTTGTTTTTGTCTTATTGTTTGTTTTAGGGACTTATCTTGTTCAATCAGTCCCTTACATCAAATTCCTATCTCTGGCTCTGCTTCTAAACCTCCCCCCACACACCCCCACCACACACACCCCCACTATAGTTTGATAAGAGAACATCTCCTTCACTTCTGTACAACCCCGCCTGGAACACAGCAGACAGTAACTGCTGAATATGGGAAGAGCCCAGGGTCTGTTTTATAGCTAGACCGTGTGCACCCCTTCTGTCCCAGGCTGGCCCAACCTGGAGGCATTGTGAGTCATAGCTGGTGGACAGCAGCTTAGTGGTTCAGGGATGGGGCCAGGCCTGGGAGAGCAGCTTGGCACCTCCGACACATCCTCCAGGTGAGGCACAACATGCAGTGAGCATTACTGGGAAAGGGCCCTCTGGGAAGACGCAGCCTTAAACATGGGCCTGGCTGCACATTTCAGGCTCTCTTTGGGCTTTCAGAGAGACGATGCCCTGAGCCAGATCTAGGGGGTAGTACCACCCCTTCAGCCCAGCTGTGTGCGAGAGGAATAAGTGTATGTTGGATTGATGAAGGCATGATAGAGTTCTATCCCTTTTCACCCTCCTGGAGAGAAGAGGAATTTAAAAGAGAACACATAGCCCTCTTCCCCTTTAATAGAGTCAGCACTTACAGGCGCTGGCGGAGACAGAATGAAACTTGTCTGTTATCTGGACTTTAGCTTCCTTGAGGATGTAGTCCACTTGGGAGAAAAGTCATGTGTAGTCTGCATAACCTCTATGACTTTGAATTCTAAGCATAGGTCCTAGCCCATGGCACAGGCCCCCAAGATGTCACTGAGCATAATGCACCACTGTCACCTACATACACATCTGGGTTCCTAGCTGGACCAGTAGCATCTTGAGGGCAGGCACAGGCTAAGAACCCCTGCCCAGACCAAGCCTGGCCCAGAGCAGTTTATAAAATAACTGAACGTGGCAATAATGCCTTTATTTTAGACATCCTACCAAATACTTTCCTGAATCCAGACCTAGCCCTGGCTTTGTCATCCAGCAGTGCCCTCTTATCCACAGAATGAAGTTTATGCCCTGGTCCCCTTTCTAGCCTCCTCTTCTATTCCCAGCCGAGTCCCCTACACAAACCCTACTCCAAACTCTTCCTTACATGGGGAACATGCAAGCTGTGCCTGGCTCTTCACTCTGCCTAGAGGTTCTCCATTGTCCACCCTCAACCTACATGGCAAAGTCCTGCTCAACTTTTAAGTACCTGTCTCAGCAATCCCTTCCAGCAGCCTGTCCTATGCTCAGAAAGCAAGGGATATGGTCCTTCATCCGCATTTTGTCTCCTGGGCCTGACACACAGTGGTCTTTGGAGAAGGTAGTTTCAGGAGATTGCTGTCAGTGCCAGTGTGCAGGGATGGGCTCCTCAGCGACCAGCACCCTAGTGCCAGCCTCAGAGCTAAGCCCTGTCCACCGATCCTCGCGGTTTGACCGGACAGCCTGTCCAAGCAGGCTGCTCACCCGGACTCTTGCTCCCCGGCAGTGCCCCTGGCTCGCCTTCATCATTCTGGACACAGGGCCTCCAGAGGCAAGGGCGCAGCCCTGGTCGCCCACGTCCTCGAGGCTCGGCACTGGGCACCCACGCGCCCCACAAGATCCACTCGGTCCTCGCCCTGGAGGCCTTCAGGTGTCTTAGCTCAGGCCACATCAGCCGCCTGTGGGAGCAGCTGCAGCAGTTCTGGGCCGACCACTTCTCGCAGCGCTTCTCCCCGCGGCGCCCGCCGCTGCGCCGCATCTCCTCCATGTCCACCTTCTACTTGCTAGACCACCGGACGCGCCAGGCCGAGCTGGGCCTCAGCTACGGCGCGCCGCGCACTCGCCTGAGCGACGAGGCCTTTGTGTTCCGCGGCGGCCAGTGGACCACCGAGGGGCAGCCGCGGCGGTCGCGACCGCTGCTGCCCTCACCCAGCAACTCGGGCTGGAAGACGCAGGTGCAGGGGGTCAACAGCCAATTGTTGCTGGAGGAGAACAACTACCTGAAGCTGCAGCAGGAGCTGCTCATGGACATGCTGACTGAGACCACAGCGCGCATGCACCTGCTGGAGAAGAAGCTCGATTCCCAGGCCAGCCCGGCGTCTGGGGCGGGCTCCTGGCAGAGGAAGATGCGCAAACGCGAAGGCGCGAACGCGGTGCTCTTGCTCCAGCCGCGCGCTCTGGAGTCGCGGTGACGCAATAAAACCCGTGCGGCGCACGCGCATTTCGCTCCTCGCTGCCCGCCAGGCGCCTTCGTGGGCAGCCAAGTGGGGTCGGCTCGGGCTCGCGACCTGCGGGTAGGGACCGTCACTTAGTGCGCGTTAGTGGACGGGTGACTCAGCCGGCAGCCCGTCTCGGGAGGGCGCGATAGGGCCGTGGAGGAAGGTGTGTGTGCGGCCCGCTGGGAACGCGGGGTGGGAGCCAGGCTTGCAAAGGGCAGTGCTAGGGGAGGGAGGAGTGGAGTGGGCGCGAGGATGGCAAGCAGGGGTGAGCAGTGGCGTTCTTGGCCCAAGGAACGGAGGACGAAGTCGGGGAGACAGTGAAACCTTGGGAGCTCAGCGATGCCGGGTGCGGTGAGGCGGTCAGGCGGAGAGGGTCGGGGACCTCGCTCTTGGCTCCCCTGGTTTAGAGGAGCGGCGCGGGCCAGAGGGTTTCAGCCTGAGTCCGGAGTATGTGTATTTTACGAAGCTTTCTCGAAACTGGGCCTCAGCCTCTCCCAGCTGCTGTGTGGCTTTTGGCGGGTAGCTTCTCCGTTACAGGTCTCCTTTCCTCCTCTGTAGAATAAAGGGTTTGTCTCACCCGGGGTGCAAACGAGCACTCTCCAGAGCTAAGCCTGTAACACAGATAGGATTTGCTCCACCCGCGTTGTTTAAAAGTTTTGCATTAGTTGTCAACATTAAAATTTTTTTTAATATTTATTTATTTTTGAGAGGGGGGAGGGACAGAGAGAGAGGGAGACACAGAATCCGAAGCAGGCTCCTGGCTCGCTTTCAGCACAGAGGCCGAGGCAGGGCTCCAACCCACCAATGAGATCATGACGTGAGCCAGTAAGTCGCTTAACCGCCTGAGCCCCCCAGGTGCCCCTAGTTGCCAACATTTAAGAATTTGGAAATTTCATATTAAAAATCCAGATTTCCTGTGCTCTCAAAGAGACTTGGCCATCCTGGACCTTCATTTTGTCCTACAGCAGTGGCCTTGAGCTGAATCGTGGCTGTTACCTCCTGGTGAGTTTCACTCCTTTCTTCTGGTAGGTGTCTGATTTTGCTCTCCTCCTAGATCCATTTTGGATCAGGGACATGGGGGGGTCTGCTTCCCCCAACCCCTATACACACAAAGTATAGTAGAAGGTGCTTCAGGGAGTGTGTTGTACTTGTGGTTGATGTAACTGCACAACAAAAGGTGGTGACACCAGTCCTTGCAATCTGTAACCTTTTCCCTGGAATGTAGACAGGGCATATCAGCAACCACTGAAACCTGAGAGCATGGGCCCTTTTCCCTAGGGTCAGGTAATACCTGTGAGAGAAGTGAGTGTCCTGCCTCCACCTAACTTTCCTTCAGGAGTAGACTAAGGATTACTAAACAGCTACTTTGATAGATGTTTTTCTGTGGGTTTGTTTTTGTTTTATTTTAAATGTTTATTTTTGAGAGAGAACACATGTGCATGAGCAGGGGAGGGGCAGAGAGAGAGAAGGAGACAGAATTCGATGCAGGCCCCCCACTGTGAGCACAGAGCTGGAAGGGGGGCTCTGTCTCATGAACCCTGCCAGGTCATGGCCTGAGCTGAAGTCAGATGCCAGACTGAGCTACCCAGGCACCCAGCTTAACAGCTACTTTGTACAAAGATGTGGACTTATTTATTCAATCAGGAAAACAACACAAAACATGTCATTAGACACTAAGTTTAAAACATTGTGAGCAGTGCTTTTTTTTGTATTTTAGTAATTCTGTGTATACATTAATGTAAATTAAATAAAAAATATTTAAAATAGTTATGATGAAATCAATTTTCCTTTTAAAATAATTAAGAAAGGGGTGCCTGGTTGCTCAATCAGTGAGGTGTCCAACTTCATTCAGCTCAGGTCAGGATCTCATGGTTTGTGGGTTTGAGCCCTGCATCAAGCTCTATGCTGACAGCTCAGAGCCTGGAGCCTGCTTCTGATTCTGTGTCTCCCTCTCTCTCTGCCCCTCCCCTGCTCATGCCCTGTCTCTGTCTCTCAAAAATGAATAAATGTTAAAAAATTTTTTTTAAATAACTAAGAAAGGGGCACCTGGCTGACCTAGTCGGAAGAGTGTGTGCTCTTGATCCAGAGATTTTGAGTTTGAGCCCCATGTTGGGTGTAGAGATTACTTAAATATTTAAATAAACAAAATGAAGAAAAAATATATACAGACAAGGAAATGGAAAGGGAGTCAAAATGATAACACCAGAAAAAAATCAAGCCCAAAATAAGGTGCTAATGGAGAAACCATACTAAGTGAAAGATGCCAGACTCAAAGGGTCAGATATATGATTCTCTTTATATAGTATACCCATAATAGGCAAATCCAGAGAGACAGGAAGCAGATTGGTGGTTACCAAGGGCTGGTTGGGGGGGGGGGGGGTGGGGGGGGGAGGAGGCGGTGACTGCTTAGCAGGCAAAGGGATCCCTTTTAGGGTGACGAAAAATATTTTGGAACTGTTTGGTAATGGTTGTACAGCACTGAATGCTCTAAAAGCCACTGAATTGTACACTTCAGTGAATTTTGTGTTACGCGAATTTTACCACAGTAAAAAAAAAATTTTTTTTAAGAAAGTGCTTTACATAAAAACATGAAGTAGGGGTGCTTGGGTGGCTCAGTCCATTAAGCATCCAACTTAGGCTCAGGTCATGACCTCACGGTTTGTGGGTTCGAGCCCCCTGTCCGGCTCTGTGCTGACAGCTCCGAGCCTGGAGCCTACTTCGGATTCTGTGTCTCCCTCTCTCTCTCTGCCCCTCACCCACTCACACTCTGTCTCTCTCTCCTTCAAAAATAAACAAACATTTTTAAAAAATTAAAAAAAAGAAACATGCAGTAAAACGACATGAGTTGTAGGGAAACAGCTAAAATCATAACAATGATCCAGGAATGCCTGAAGTTTAGGGAATATTGCTTTGATCAAAATACTTAATAAAGTAGCTGCGCTGGCAGACCAGAACAGCAGGCAGGCAGGGAGCCCCATGTTTAGGGAGAGGCCATCCAAGTGGAGAAAGGGCCAGAAATAAATGCAGCAAGATGATATTTTGAGATATCTGACTTTGTTCTTCCTGCTATGGAATTTCAGCCCCTGACTGAGGCAGCCAAGTGTATTGCCCCAGGGAAGGATGTGACAAGAGCAGAAAGCTTGCACAAAGGACTCTTTGTGGCTTTCACCTCCTACAGCTCAGAACTCTGGGGATCAGAGCTTTGCAGAAAAATATTTTGGGGCTTGAAGAGGGAGGTCAAAGAGGCCGCAGATTTGTCTACAGCAAGAGGAAAGATGAAGGGAAATGGGAGCAGAGAAGCTGGTAGGTCTCCCATCTTGGAAAGAAAAAATTCCTTATCTTGACCCTACATTACTTTCCAGCTACTGCCCCATTTCTCTGCTTCCCTTTATAATGAAACTCCAAGAAGTTTCCTGTATTCACTGTCCTCAGTTCCTCCCCTCCCTCTTTGCTCTGCTCTCTGTCAAAGATGCCATCACCCTGCTATGTTGCTTTGTCCTTTGCCCATTGTCCATCCTCACCTTGGCCACTCAGCATTTCAGGCAGTTGAGGCCTCCTCCTCCTTGAAACACTGTCTTCACCTGGCATGGGAGAGGGAGGCACTGCACTCTCCTGATTTGCTTCTTCCCTCACACCGTTCCCTCCTTCTCAGTGTCTGGCTGATTTTACTCTCACTTCCTTCAGGTATCCTCTTAAAATTTTTTTTGTTTTTATTTTATATTTGAAAGAGAGAGAGAGCAAGCAGGGGAGGGGCAGAGAAATGGAGACAGAATCTGAAGCAGGCTCCAGGCTCCGAGCTGTCAGCATAGATCCCAACATGGGGCTTGAACTCACAGTGACATCATGACCTGAGCTGAAGTCAGATGCCTTACCAGCTGAGCCACTCAGCCCCTAGGTATCTGCTTAAATGTCATCTTTTCAGTGAAGTTTTCCCTGATGACTCTATTTTTTAATTGTTTTTTTTTAGAAGTTTTATATATTTATTTTGAGAGAGAGGGAAAGCGACCAGGGGAGGGCCAGAGAAAGGGGGAAAGAGAGAGAATCCCAATCAGGCTCTGCACCATCAGCGTAGAGCCCAACGTGGGGCTCAATCTTAGGAACCGTTAGATCATGACTTGAGCGAAGTCAAGAGACAGACGCTTAACCTACTGAACCACCCAGGGACCACCCCTCCCCGCCCCCCACCATGTCTCTATTTAAATGAGCATGTGTTCTCCCCAGCTGAAACCAGATCAACACAACTTACCCTTCTTTCCTGTTTTGTTTTCTAACACCTGTTACCATTTGATAGGCTGTATATTTTATTGTCCTTCTCCTCCCCCCCCCCACCTCTTACCCCACCACCACTACTAGGACACAAGCTCCATAGAGCTGTTATATTCTCTCCTGTATTTCAGTGTAGAAAAGTATTTAATGACACTTATTAGGACCTCTGAAAATATTCCTAGAATGAACATGAAAGAGCAGACCTAGGCCGGCCAACTCCATTTTGTTCTGTGTCCTCCATCTTGAGTGACTACGTCCCTGACATGGCCCCCTTTCCCGGAAAACCACAGAAAGAAATTCCCCTTCAAACCTCAGACCAAGCCTCTTCCCCTTGAGTAACTTCCGGCTCACCCGTTCAAACCTCCCATTCAAACCATGCCTGGCAACCTGCACAACAGGACTCTGACCCTTCCCCAGCCAATTGGCTAAGGCCACGACCATTACCCCACCAACTGCCCCTAGATCCCTATAAAACCTTTGTGCTTTTGAAACTCGCTCTCTCTCTCCCTGGCATCTCACCGCTGCATCGGTGCAGGTAGGGGATTGAGCTCGAGCTAGCTCGAGTAAAGGCTCTTTGCTTTTGCATTGGACTCGGCTCCCTGGTGGTCTTTGGGGATCATGAATTCTGGGCATAACATTTGGGGGCTCGTCCGGGATCCCCAAGACCCCCGAGGGACTCCCGACCCAGAGAGCCTGACTGGCCATGGTTAGTGTCTGTTCGTTCCCTGTCTCTTCTCTGTGAGTTCA